GGTTGCATCTTCTTTTAGTATTATTGTTTTTGTCGTTGTTGCTGCTGTAAGCCCCGTATCGATGGGGTAAGTCACGGCCCGATTGCGCAATATCTAATTGTCTCTGAGGAAACTGAAGATGTCTCCCAGCTGGTTCCGCTTTTTATTTTGTCTGGGTACTCCTCCGGACCGATTCCATTCCTGTGTCCCGCCCGGAGCCGCTCCCGGTGCCCGTCTGCTGTTGCCCAATCGACGCGTCGGCCAGGTGGCAGGCAAGATATGCCGTTTAATTAGTAATATTTGTCAAAGTGTTATAAAATACTGCCTAGGCAGGTCTCATTTCATGTGTCGGTGTCTTCATCTCCATTCGCGAATGCGCTCCAGCTTAAGTACACTTGCAGAAAATGCAGACAAATGTTGTTCCATAGATTAAATCATGACTATGAGGGTGACTAAGAAGGAGGCTTTAAAGACCTTCTCAAGATCATCTCAATTCCTGGTAGAGTCTATGGATTTTGTTCAGTGTAGCAATGAGGAAATCAATTGCAGCGGTACAGCTGCCTACCTGCCTGCCAACTTCCAACTAACAAATACCAACTACCAATGTTTTCAACAGGAGTGGGCAGCATCGGCAGCAGTGGACTTTTGCGACGAGTCTACGCAAATTGGAATGCGAGACCTCTGACTGTGTGAATAAAATGGCTAGGTTGGCTTAGCTTCGTTTTTGGCCAGATTGCGTAACAGAGGCTCAGAGCCACTGAGCCGGTTTCGGGGCGCTGCCAATTTGCATCTGTATCTGTAACTGTGTGCAGTCAAAGGACGACTGGCCATAACCAATGTTTTGTGAAAGACTCAGCATCTTCTGGTTTAATAGCCATTGCAACAGCACTGGCTCTAAAGACACCGAGGAGGAACCAAAGGGGCCGGCAGTTTCTGTTGCCATTAATAACCGTTAATGCCAGTTGCCAGTGCTCAACATGTTGTTAACTGGCCGTCCACAGTCTTGGCGACCTTGGCAGAAACAAGTAAACCAAATGCCCGCTCATCTTTTTGAACGGATTTCGTATTTTCGGTTTTCGGCCAACACTTGGCGCCAGTTTCGCCTGATTATTGGCCACCTGCTGGTAAATCCGTTGGTGCCCCGGCTAAGAGCTCACGCACTTTCAACTCTGATTACCCGGCCAATTAATTTGGTGGTCGGTTTAAGCCATTTAAACGCACCCACCGCCCCAAATTGGCTGCACTTTGGCCCCCTGCCGAGCGAGAGCGTGATGCAACTGCCAAGAAATCAATTTATCGGCCTGCAATTAGCACTGCTTCATTTACCATGGATGTGGGTCAGTCGCACAGGCATTCGTGGCAACAATGACATTAACGTCAACACTCGAGCACCTGCCGATCCAGCCGCAGACGCAGCTTCAGTTACAGTTTCAGTTCCAGTCTCTGAAAGTCCAGAGCCACGTAACAAATTGGGGCGGCCAAGTACCATGAGCTGCAAATGAAGAAAGCCACAAGCAATTACAGGCGCAATCTGTCGATCGAGATGACGACGATGACGCTGCAGACCGCCTTGGATTAGGCCTGATCCACGAGAGCCTGATTGAAGGTTAACCATGTGTGAACGCGAGTGTTATGTTATGGCTCATTGTTTTGCCGGCCAAGTGCCAGCGAGTTCCAGCCAACAGGTCGCTCGCATTGCAACAGCCTCTCCGCTCAATGAGGCGTATGTGCAATAAGTTAAGTATACGCCACCCATGGCTGGGAAATGCATTTTATTAGCTAGAAATTCCAAACAGATAACTACGTTATTAAAGGTAATTGAGATAAAAGTGGTAACAAGTAGCTGAAATTATTAAAAGTTTCATATATCTTTTTTTAACTTGAATAGCATATAGTGATATAAAATATTAAGTATACGCCACCTACTTGAAAGAAATAAAACAAACGAAATGGTAGCTAGTTCTTTCTATATCAGGAAATAATAAAGGTAATATCCTATTTAGTATAGGATAATGACCTTTATTTAAGCCGTCAATCAAAAGTTCATACAAACACTTTAAAACTACAATCTTAATCTTCAAAAAGGGATTATTATTAGACAGCAAATGTCAGCCAACTAATACCTTTCTCCACAAATAGTTTTTTCATTAAATTCCCCTAATTGTATAAGTAATTTTGTAGCCAATTTCACACGCTTCCTATCCATGATTTGTAGGGGAAACCTGTCTGCACGACCGTCACAATATAAGGCAATACATAACCTACATATAAACGTTCAGATCAATAAAATGATGCCGTAAATTATGCAACTGGGTGAGCAGGGAAAGGTGTTTCCAAAGCCCGAGGCTCCCCATCCATCCAGCTATCCATCTGTCCATGCGGCCATTTGTCCATTCATCCTGCAAACGACTGTAACTGCAGCACTGCAGCTCCATCCACGACATCTTCGGCGGGAAGCCAAACAGAAACTCGAATTGCCAGTCTGCAGACGAAGTCGATCTGCTGCAAAATGCACGTTTCGGGAATTTCAATTTCATTTTGCACAACAAAAAGCGACCTGAACGAATACTATATACGTATATACTATATATGCACGATAACAAAAATCCACTGAGACTGGAGTCGTTGAGCCTGTTGCACATTCTTCATTATATTCATGATTTTTTACCTAATTTCAAGTTTTTGGTTTTTTCCTTCTTTTTATTGCAAATTGGGGACTTTGCTTCTCGGTCTCTTCGGTCTGCGGTCTTCGGTCTGCTTTTCCTTTTGCAGTGTCTGGACTGAAGGCCGTCTGGCCGTCCCTCCATGTCTCTGGCTCCTCCTTGGACTATGACATAATATCTTGTCGGTTCCAATTTGTGCATACATATTACTTGCGGCCAGCTGGAAGGGTCTGTGTGCAGTTCCAATATCGACAGCATTATCTGGGACTTGGTCCGTTTCTGGGGTGTTAATTGCTAGCCGTTTGGACTTGGCGGATTTATCAAAACCCCAATAGCTAAGCTAGTCGGATGTTCATAAAGCGCGGCCCTTATTACCATGCTAAAAAGTTCATTTGGCCCCAGGCAGTCACTGAAGCAGACCAATAGCATCGCACTAAAAAAATTAAATTGCCACACGCAGAAAAATATATTTAATAAATAAATGTACAAAAGACTATAGTCTGGCTTTAAGATAAATCTCTTATTCAAAACTAAACTCTATCAAACAATTTCCTCTATTAAAATATAATCAAAACTACTTGAAACTATTTAAAGTGCACTTTAACCTCTAATGGTGCTTAATGTCTTCATGCTGGGTCGTCCCATCGACGTCGTCGGAGGTCGCATTGCCATTCGAGCGATTAGGTCGACCTGTCCATAAATGGCACTTTTTGTTGTCTATTTGCTTAGCCGAATTCCCCCCGCCATCCACCACCCCCACCGGGTTGCGATCATTTTGCAAAGCCAACTGAACTGGACTGCTCCGAGCTCACCTGTGCTAATTGTTTGTCACTCAAGTTCGGCGCTTGGCGCTCGCAGCTGGGAGTCGGACATGGTTAATCATACCATATAAAATGCGGGCACGTAGCCCAAATGGCCGGAGCTTAAGACTACTTAGTGTGTGGAAGCAGGCGCAACACGCCCACAGCGATTGACCTTATCGTCGGATGGGAGGTGAACCACTTTGCACTGCGCGAAATGATTGATCGCTTTTCCAGGGGGTTGGACTCGCCATTGCCCTATTGCCCAATTTGAGGATGTTTAGCGTGATGTTGTGTCTGTTCATGATGGGTGATTGATGAAAAATAATGAACATTTTGGGAAGGTTTGATTGAAATTTGGTTTCGAATTGTGGGATGTGTACTAATAATTGTTATAATGAACAAGGAACTATAACTTGTATGGGAGTCGAAGATCTGATACTCTTATGGTTAGAATTTTGCAAAACAAATTATTGCTTTTATCTTAGACTTAATAATCTCCAGAGAGGTAAAGGACAAAGACTTTATACCCTTGCCTCAATAACATAAATTGATTTTTTATCATTTCCTATATTTTTCCATGTATAATATCTCATCCTAAAGATAGGGCTTAAAGGTAATTAAGGACATACGGAAAAGGTATTGACAGTAATGGGATTTATTTTTAAAAAACCTCTTACAAAGTTTTTCTCAAAATTATACTACCTTTTGTAAGAGTATTAAAATATTGATACAATTTTTGATTAGGTCTTTAAAAAAATGTACTTGAATTTTAAATACTTGATCAAAATTTGCTTAGCTACTTCAGACCCTAGACGAAAGTAAACACATTTTATTTATCAAACTACTTGTTTTTAAAAACCTCCTCTAAAATAAGAGTAGGTGTATCTAGTAGGTATTCCTAGGAATAACGTGACTCTATTAACCGCCTTCGCAGAAACTGTAGTTACTTGGCCATTGACCAACGGCCACTCCACCACCAGTCGCTAATGCCAACATCATAATTACTGTTAACTCGCATTCTAGCCATCGTTCCGAAGATGGCTCTCGAGTGGATCCGAATTTTGGGGCCCAAAGGCAAAGGTACTCGAGTCCAATGGCAGATTGTGGTGGTGGTGGTGGTGGTGATCGCATTGTTGTTGAAGTCGCCGCGAAGCTGCGCCGTTACCTTGGGAAAATCCGCGCAGTCATCGGCGGTACAAGAGCGGTTCCAAACCTGGCGAGGTGAGCGTTACCTTTACTCTCACTCTCTGCGGTTTTCGTTTTTTGCTTTTGGATTTTTGCTTTTTGCTTTTGCTTTTCGCTTTTGCTTTCATTGATGGCAGCGACGTTGGCAGAGCAGCCGGCGGCTCAGGTGCGTGCATTTTGCACATGGACCGTGGCAGAGGCAGTGGCAGTGGCAGAGGCAGAGAGCTTTGGCCACCGTGTTTTCTTTTGTTTTTGTACTGGACCCCACCGCAGCGGACGTCGGCGTCGCAGTCGACGTTGGTGGAGTTGGCGGTTGGCGGTTGGCGGTTCGGAGACGAGATCCATTCCAAAATATAAATAGATGTGCATGTAGGGAAATGCGAATAGTGTTCATAAGACCTCAGCGGAGGCACATACCAGCTCCTTTTGTTTTGACGCGCTGTGGTGCAAGGGATACCAAGCATGAGATCCCTCAGTTTATTGGTTAGTGTTCAAAGATATATCAGTGGCTAAGTGAATCCTAAACACGAAAATATGCAAATCCAAAGTGATAATAATAATTGAAACAATATTTGGATTTCAAGAAACAATTAAAGACTGAGAAGCTCACAAAAAATTAAAATAAATATTAAAAACAAAAAATAATTCTGTTAAACAAAAAACCAATGTCAAAAAAAAAATTAATTTATTTAAAAATGTTACTCCTCCTAGCTACTCAGCGCCAGCTGCGCGCTAATCCTTAGCTTAGCCTATGCCCATCCTCCCGAGGGTGTGTGGAAGAAGAAACTCACCTGGAAGGAGGATTGGGTCCAGGTATGGAAAACCGTCAAGAAGGAGGCTTGGGAGACCAAGTGGAAGAAGGTCTCCGTTCCAATTTGGAAGGAAGTGAAGGTAAGAGTTAAGAAACCCTATCCTCTATGAGACCCTAATAGGAATACAAAAATCCATAAAGGTTCCCGTCTGGAAAGAAGAGCAAGTGCCAGACTGGAAGATTGTTAAGAAACCGAAAATCGAAGAGAGGGAAGTCCCCGCCTGGAAGGAGGTCAAGGTGGCCGAATGGAAGAAGATAACCAAACCCATCTGGGTGCCCACCAAGGTGGCCGTTTGGAAGGAGATCCAGGTTCCCATTTGGAAGGAGGTTCAGGTGCCGTTCTGGAAGGAAATCCAAGTGCCTGTGTGGAAGGAAGTACAGGTGGCAGATTGGAAGCAGATGTTTGAACCCCAATGGGTAAAAAAAATAATTGCTCTTAAAAGCTTTCAATTACTCATCAATTATCCATTTGTCAGGTGAAAATGGGCATTCCCGGCGAAAAGTTCCTGGGCAAGGATCATGAGGGTTGGGAGTACACCAGCCACGATCTCTGGCGCAAGAAGCTGATCTGGAAGCCCGTGTGGAAGAAGGTCTGGCGCACCGAAAAGAAGCAGGAGTGGCGCACCGAGAAGAAGCAAGAGTGGCGCACCGAGAAGAAACAGGAATGGAAGACTGAGAAGGTCCAGGAGTGGAAGCAGGACAAGAAGCTGGAGTGGAAGGATGAGTGGGTTCAGGTGGGTAAACCCAACAAAAGAGTCTTAGAAGCGTATTAATCATCCAACTCCTTGCAGGTTTGGAAGCCAGTGAAGAAACAGATCTGGATCAAGGAGAAGCGCGAGACCTGGGTCGAGGAGAAGGTACAGATCTGGCGCACCGAGAAGCGCCAGGTGTGGGCCACCGAGAAGCGACAGGCGTGGAAGGACGAATGGCAGTCGGTGAATGTGCCCGTGTGGAAGGAGGTCAAGGTCCAGGAGTGGAAGAAGGTCTGGAAGCCAGTCTGGGAGAAGGTCTGGGTGCCAGTAAGCCATGGCCATGGTTGGGACTAAGGGTCTGTGGCAAGGGTCTCCGTTTAGCCGCAAGCTATGCGACAGCACTGATATCTGATAACTGATCCCTCCAGAAACCCACAAAATCCCCGAAACCCAAACCTTGAACCCTTTAAGCCATCTGCCCCGTCTGTCGCAGATCACCTTTGTGTACAAGCGAACTTGTTGAAATTGTTACATAGACTTAAAGTTATAAGGCATCCTCCCACATCCCTCTCCACCTGCATTTTGTAAAAAACATTTCGTACCCTCCTCTCCATCTGTCTCCATCTATTTTTTCCCGAAGTGTACAAATTAGTCATGCGCGCGTTTTTGTCTTTAAGTTATACAAAATTCAATAAAAAACACAACAATGTTTTAAAAAAAACTTTTTGGCATTTTTATACAAACATCTATGTGTAAAATTTTGCAAAGGCAGCCCTCGATAAAATTGTTTTGTAAATACGTGTACTTAAACATAATTATAATCCCCATGTGGACCACACACGAAAACACTTTTACCTGAGAAAAAAAAAACCTGAGAAGAAATAAAAATTACTACAAAATCATAATAAACATAAAAAATAAATGCTTTTAATTACGGCTTAACGCAAATTACAACCCAAAAGCATCTGCGGACATTGGATGGGTGGATGTGGAAGCGCTTCTTCCCCTTTACGGATGAGGCATTTCAGTTAATTTTTTTGGGCCTGATGCAGCTCATAAAGATTCGATTTCGGGCCAAGACACCCGGAAGTTAGATAAGTGCCGAAAAAACCAAGAGATGTCCACGTCATCGTTCAACTGGAATTGGCAAAAAGGTCTCGCCTGAAGCTGCGAGAGGCCATGTGCCAAAGTCAACAATTGCAATGACGTTGGCGATGGAGATGATGATGATGTTGATGTTGAATACTGATGCTGATATTGGTGGCAATGCCTCTTGCCATTTGCTATTTGCTGTTTGCTAGATGCCAAATAAATCTCAAGGAAGCATCTTCGCGGCAGATAAGCGGCAACAATAACGTTGCCACTTCCTGTTGCCAAGTTGAAGTTGAATGCAGCTGGCCCAGCCTCCATTGCCACAGGGAGTACGTAGTACAACCTAACCGCTTTGCAATTCCAAGTCAGTCGGTCGCGTCGCCAGTTCGGTTGCAACATGTTGCTTTAATTGACTCCCCCGTGCCCCCCCGCACCACACTATTTCGGAGTGGAGTGTGTTTGTGTGCCAAAAAACCGAATCCCGCATAAGGTTGGCGGAGTGGAAGCCACCAACTGTTTCAGTTGCACCGGTTGCAGTTTCAATCCGCGCCTCGGGACTCGCTAGCTAGTCGGGATTAGGTAACCGCCGCCAAAAGTTCGAGTTCAAGCAAACATTCCGTTTGAAAATCTCACGGAGTCAAAGCTGGCCTAATGATGTTGCCGAAGAGATTTTGGCAAATCTACAATTGATGTGGCTTGCAAATGACTTTTTTTTTCATTGCCTGGCTAATAAGATGTATTTCCTTGATTTTCTTCGTACTACGGTATACGATTCTTCAACGGTGGCTAGTGCCTGGAACAATTAGACCCTAATTAAGCCAAGGCTATTTTTTTTTTGGTTGCCACAATGGAAATCAATTCGATTTCCATAAGATTTTCAAAATGTTGTCACACCATTATTGTCAGCAGGCTTTTGAAATTTGTCACATATATTCAATTTATCTTCATCTTGACCAGGCCAGGCCAGGCTGTATAATGTCCTATTACAATTGTTCGACATGGCTTGCGAGGCCTGAATTGCATTCCGTTTTTATATAACAACCGAACAAGTGTCATGCTAAACTCAGATTCGAAAACAACAACAACCAAAGTAACGAACCAGCAACCGACACTTAACGCATTTGAGTGAAGCACATAATCGTTGTTGTTTTAATTATTGAAGCCGCATCAGCAGCGGCAACATCAACAACAGCCAACAGACATCTCGGGCATTGCACAAGCCGCCAGCCAAAAACAAAACAAAACGTAGCCAGCCACACAGGCCCGAGCCCGAAAGAAATTGAAAAAATGTAATAAAAATAAATTATAACAAACAAAACAAAAAATGCAAAACAACGCGTAGCGACAGAAATATTTTTTTGTAATAAATCTTTTGTTTCCACCCGGTACACACACAGCAACACCCAGTTAAAACAAAAAAGTTTGCAACGAAATATTTATTGTATAAATAAATAAATATTTACTGGTGTGGCGACTCAGGTTCAAGACGCAGCAGCAGCCACAGCAGCAGCAAAAACAGCAGCAACACGTGATGAATTCGGCGCTTACAGCCAAGCGTGAAGTTGCAGCTTTTGGTTTGCTTGGGAGCTCGGGTTATTGCTCGCCAGGTGCTGTTGACTCTGGCGCAAGATGTGGGTCGATCCGAGAGGCAATTAGAGAACTGGAGCAGAGACATGAGGCACAGACTCCAGCATCGTGTTGACATTAGGCAAGTGCAAGTGTGGCAAGGTCGCCGGCGACACTCTTGCTGATTAAAAGGAGCACTAACGAAGCGGAGGCGGTAATTACACATAGCCCCTAAAAGGAGAGAAAGAGTGAGGCAACAAAAACACTAACCATCCACAACATCCATGACGCTGCTGAAATGGCAAACGCTGGCGAACGCGAGATGTTGCAATGAAGACGTGCGCTTCAAGTACTTGCAGCCAAGGGGGCAGTAAAAAATGATTAAAGGGCGGCACTGAGATTGCGTTGTCAACGCGCTTGTCTCGTATCTCTAATCTATATAAATGCCATTTTATAGCTGACCACTCTAACACACACACACTCAAAACGAGAGAAAAAAAACTTTTCAATGGACTTGCAAACAAAAGACTCAGGCAACGAACTTGTATGGCCAACTAACAAGTCCCGCAAACGCATCTCTTTTTTTCCGGATGAATTCAATGTCGTTTGATGACAAAGACTTTGTCAAATTGTTATTATTTTTAGATATTTGATTAAGATATATTATTAGAGCTGTAATATTTAATATTTAACATTTTTTGTAGCTTATATGTTCTTTGAAGATAAACAATATAAGTGATATAAGGTTTTAAGTAGATACAAAATAATAATAATTAAAAATGTATTTACGTAGTTTTTCAAATTTATTACATTTTAAAATTAATTTAATTTTTAAATAGGCCAAATTAGGCTGTGATCTCTTTAATAAACCAAACTCTTTCTTATCTAACTCTTTAGTGATTACTACTTTGTTGAATATTTGTTTAATTCACATCATTGCCACTGCCTCCATGCAAATTATGGCGTGGGGCCCGTTTTGGCCTAGTTGTTCCACCTGCTGCCACGCCCCCATTAACTAAATGTTGGCCACGCTCAACGCTCCCAACCGAAGCTGCTGTTGCCAGCATTTGGTTTGGATAGGATGCCACTGCTGCTTCCCCATTCATTCATATGCAAACGACTTGATTGTCAAACATTGCTTTTATTTTTTCGTTTTGTTTTGTTGGGGTTTTTATTTTTGCTCTCTCTCTTTCTTTTATTGTTTGCGTCTCTGTTGCACCACCAATGGGGTACCTATCTCTCCCCGTTGCAGCAGATTTATTGCAACTTGAAGACAATTGCTGTTTATGACTTCCTTCGGAGTTCTGCGACTAATACGCTAAATGATCAATATTTGATGGGAGTATTTGTCATGCTTCCATCGCCGCCAGACCGTTTGCCGTTTAGCGTTAAAACGTTTGGTTAGCTCACCACGCCCCTTGCCCCACCGCCTATCGCCTGCCGCCTCCCCACTACTCCCCTTCTGCCATTTACATGTTGAAATTTCTGTTATGCAGCCGCGTCACAGCAGCGAAGACAATGCACAATTGTTGGATGTTCGGGGCGTCAGTCGTAATTGTTTGCGAATAATTTTCATATTTTTTTCTCCTTTTTTGCCCAACTATGTACTAACCACATCCACTGGGTTTGAATTGGAAGGCGTTTACTCTGGGGGCGTCCCACAAAAGTGGGCATGGCTGCTTGGATTTATATTTAATGAGCCACATTTAGTTGTAAATCATCGGATTTTGCAACAATTAATTATATTATGCAAGGCCGCTGCCGGAGAGTGTGAATTATAAATAGCTTTTTATTGAATTAGCCAATCGGCAAACGTAAGCCGGTAATCATGATGGCCAAAACGCGGTAGCCTGGCAGTGCTTAAGCAGATTTACGGAGAGCTATTGCCACTGCAATCTTGCAGTGTTTGCATCAGCACTTGTTCTTTGGCAAAGAGCCAGAGCCCCTCCATCGCTAACTGGATGAGCAAATCCCAACAGCTGACAAATATTTAGAGTTTACATACGGCTGGTGTTTGTTGGCCAAGATTTGTTAATTTTTTTCGAAAGGGCAGCTATATACGAAGCCGAAATTGTATACCCTTGCGGCTAAGATCGTATTTAGTAGGCGATCCTAATTAAAATTTTATTATAAAACCAATTTATTAGAAGAAAAACATTTTACAAAAAATTCTAAAGCTTCTATCTTCAAAAACTATGTTCTATTTTTATCAAATACCAAATAGTTTTCCAATTGTCCAGTTATATGGCAGCTATGGTATATAGTCCCCCAAATGGCCCACAGTGATGGCCATATCTTTCCCAATTCTCATCCGATTCTCAAGCGGAGTACCTTGAACGATTTCTGAATCGATTTGCCACCATTCTGCATCAAAATCCTGGGACAAAATATTTTTTAGATTTTTTGTCCATTTTTCGTGATGGGATCCCTTGAAACTAAGGTTTTCCGCTATATGGCCCACAGTGATGGCTATAACTTCCCCAATTCTCATCCGATTCTTAAGCGGAGTACCTTAAACGATTTCTGGATCGATTCGCCACCATTCTGCATCAAAATCCTGAGACAAAATATTTTTTCAATTTTTTGTCCATTTTTCTGATGGGATCCCTTGAAAATGCGGTTTTCCCCTATAGGGTACACAGCGATGCTATATCTTCCCCAATTCTCATCCGATTCTCAAGCGGAGTACCTTAAACGATTTCTGGATCGATTCGCCACCATTCTGCATCAAAATCCTGAGACAAAATATTTTTTCTATTTTTTGTCCATTTTTCCATTTTTTTGTCCAGGGATCCCTTGAAAATGGGGTTTTCCCCTATAAAGCCCACAGGGATGGCTAGATCTTCCCCAATTCTCATCCGATTCTCAAGCGGAGCACCTTAAACGATTTCTGGATCGATTCGCCACCATTCTGCATCAAAATCCTGAGACAAAATATTTTTTCTATTTTTTGTCCATTTTTCTGATGGGATCCCTTGAAAATGGGGTTTTCCCCTATAGGGTCCACACTGATGGCTATATCTTTCCCAATTCTTATCCGATTCTCAAGCGGAGTACCTTAAA